ATAATATAATAAAACTTGAGACTTGTTTTTGCTTTTAAGTGTCAAGTCAAATTTTAGGCAGTTCAGTCTAAAGTAGGTCCAGCATAATAGCAGTCAGGTCTAAATCAAGTTTCAAACCCTAATTTCAGTGACCCTTTTGATTTGAGGCTGAAATCTACATACTCTGCATTGGACATGTGATTGCTAGAAGTGACGTCAGCGGATAATGTGGGTGACAGAAAGCTATATTTAAAAGAAAATTGAGCATTATTATGAAACTGGACAATTTCTGAATTTGTCTGATGTAGCAAAACCTTCCTTATTTTGTACTACAAGTTAAAGCAAGCAGAATAATTTGGACATTCTGTTTGACTGAGGTCTACAGGGCACCATTCAAAAGAACTGGACTGCACGAACGGTTGTAGTGCTGAGTCACTTCTATGGAAGGCCTGGCCTCTACTCATTTTCACATAAACATCATTCACTGCCAATGATTCAGCCTTATTACAAGGCCCTGTGCCATGCTAGGTAGTCGCCCTGAGTTTAGGAGAGACGTCTGCAGGGGTAAACAAAGGGAGCTTATCCTCATCATGTTTTCTGTGCTTGAATTAATCATCGGCAGGGTCTTCTCACAGCTCTAACGGTGGTGTCAGCCATGTCACATCAGATAGGGCCGCATCCCTCTGATGTGCTGAGCGGAAAGAGCAGGCCAGCCAGGTTGCATTCTGCTGACTGGCTGGAAGCACATGTCAGCCTGAATGCAGTTTGCTAAGAGGCTAATACTGCCCTCATCCAGGAGCGTGTTTCCTGATCCTATTGCCTGCATGGCCTCAAGTTACGGACAACCAACTGGTCAGGTTTGTTTTACTCCGGGAGGAGAAGAATGTGCTGTTTGTACTCAAGCCAAGCAAAACAATCTCATGTGATCTGTCCTAAATATCCAGTCACATACACATGATCGCTAAGTCATCCACATGGCTCTGCTAGAGAGTCAGCCAGGATCAGTCCCAGGCATGAATACATTCAACAAAACGCATTGTTTTACCAAAACGAAAACATGGCAGCTGCAGTATTGTGGACTGCGGATAATCTGGCGGCGAGTGCCTTTGTGGATTTGTGCTCGTGAGCATTCCCACTTTGTAGACGGGGTGTGAAGAGCAGGTTACATAAGAGGATCACCTCCGTAATGGTGTAATTCAGGATTCCTGCTCAACACAGCCTTTCTATGTGTATCTTTAAGAGTGGGTGGGCATAAGTGGTTCCTTTACTGGAGGACCATAGCCACAGGAAAATGCTGGCACACTGGGATTACCCATAGAGGGAGGAATTAGGGAAGAGATTGCGGGAAAAAGGAAGCGAGGGCCTGGAGGGGAATTAATACGTGTAGAGTGGAAAGGAAGAGCAGAGAGGAGTTTTCACTCCTAGAATATCAGCAAACCTTCTAGATAACTACTTTTACGGTCTACAGATTGTTTAAAAGCATAGTCTATGTTTAAAAGGCAACTCCACACAATCTGATTTTTACAAAACCAGTCTGACATTTTGGAAAATACACATTTTCACTTGCTGGCCGAGCGTTAGATCAGAGGATCAATACCACTCTCATGTCTGTTCACTTACTATGGAGCTAGAACCAGGAGCATAGCATACCTGAGCATTGAGAATGGAGGTAGGAGGAGACAGCTAGCCTGGTAAAAATACGCCTACCTGCATCTCTGAAGATCACTTATTATCACACTGTTTAAATCTGTATACAATCTTAGTTGTGGTTATACTGGAAGTTACGTGCTTAATCATTCCAGGGCGACTAGACAGAAAGAGAAGCTCAGCATTCGCACAAGTTTTGACACCTGTACAGACGTTAGCTGTAAGTTTGTTAGCAACGAATACGCACCTGCTGTGTGTCGTTTATGATCAGCGCTGCCTCCCTGACCTCTGAACTCACCTGAAACTCCACGTCTTTCTGTTTTCTCCCTCCAGTCTCTGTGAGTCTTTCAAGCAGATTCATAAAGAAACCTTTTGCTCCAAGGTGAAACACCTTCAACTCGCGCGGATGTCGCCTCTTCATGTCAGGTTAGACTGCTTCAATGCAGTGGCGCCGCTTCCAAAATTAGCTTCACAGCTAAACTATTTCCACTCACATAACTGCCGTGACTTGTCGTCTTTGCATTTCGGTTTGTGCACTAACAAATGAGATACAAAAAGTTGGTAGGAGTATTTGTGAACTTTGCAGAGCCACGCCATTTTTTCCCTTGCTTGGTCTTTAGGCTAAGCTAAGCTAAGCTAATCAACTCACTGCTCCAGCTAGTTCACACGGCACTACCGTTATTCCGACTGGGAGTGTGCATGCATCACTCAAAAGTGGGTTACTTCCACCTGAAACTCTGTAGACACACGAATAGAGTAGCCTAAATTGGCTGTAACAATAGCAGCCATTATGCTAATAGTTTGTTTACACTTCTATATTCTTTTTTCACCAGGTGGAAGTTTTTGTAGCTGCCACAAATGTGTGATATCTCAGACCCTGGAAGTACAAATAAGAGGTTGATGTCAACAATTTTTAAATACTGGTTGTTCGTAATCACACAATAAAAGATATGAGGTGAATGTAGCATAACAATGAGTGTGGCATTGATCTGCTGTGGACTAGAAAATAAATGTGTATTTCCCAAACCATCAAACTGATTCTTTTAGCTTCTCTTTGCAAAGTTAGTTTCCTGAATCACACTTTTCCCTGTTATTTTTGTGTAGATATTGCAAAAATTTTTTTTAAAATTAACTTAATAATTTTGCATCTTCTAATAGGCTTAAAACCATAACAATGGTAATTTTTAGTAAAAGTATGGAAGTATAACTCCATATATCTAGCATCTGTCACCTGTCAAAGAACCTCTTTGTATTCTTTTACAACCTGTGTCTAAGCTTATAAATCCCCCGCAAATTCAACGTGATGTCCATTTGGGCAGAGTGACAAGATCAAGATCCATTTTTAGATCTGGATATCATGGGATTTTTGTGCCTTATGCTATGTTTGAATATTGTGAGGTTTCATCGAAATTCGTCCCCTTTTCACGTTATTACATTGATGTCATTGGCATTAAGTGGTCTGCTTAGTGAGGAGACCAGGAATTCAAAAGGGATTAAATTCATTCATCCTCAAATCCACACAGATGAATGGATACACACCACCGAGATGCTCCCTTTTGATTGCAGCTTCATGCCAGCGAGTACAGTGTGAAAGGCAGAGGGGTGCTCACCCTGCAGCCAGGTTATGGATTTATGTTTTCACATAGTCTGACAGATGGGGCACTTGTTGAGTGGAGAGCAGATCTCTCGTCGGCCTCCAGGGGGCAGAGCGGCCTCTGTGCCCCAGGGCGACTCTGCCCTGTGCTCTGGGCTTAGCTGCTCGTTACATTAAAACAGGGGCTTCTGTGACAGAGTCAGCATTATGAAAGCTAAGAGGATTAGCTGATGGACATTTCTGGCGTTGCCGGTCAATTATCAAAATGAAAAGCAGTGACTGGGCAGGGCTGGCATGCTCTGTGGCACAGAAGAGCTCCACTCTCCTCCTCATCTCCACTCTACCTCTCTATCTCTCACTCAGCTCCAGTCTGTCATAGGTTACTGAGGTTCAGTGGAGGAAAAAAAGAAATAAATAAATGAATCATTGGTGTGTTTCTGAACATGAAAGTTTTTTTTGAGTGTGTGTGTCTGTGTGAGCCATGGATTAAAAAAGAGCATTTAAATTTTAATGTTTCTAAAGTGCAAGACTGTATGTTATGCAACTGTATAAAAACAGGCCTGCACGTCAGCCAGCCATCCGTGCTCAAGTCTAACTCCTCCAACCATGTGCATGATCAGCTCCTCACACACATACACACACACACACACACACACTCTACCACTGCTCACTTTCACTGCCCTACTTGTGTGTATGTGCACCCTCCCTGTGATTGTTTAACAGGCTATCAGTGTAGGAGGAGTCTCCATCACTGAGCATGTCGTCACACTGTGGGCATGTGTGAGGTTGGAGTGTTGGGGGTGATGGAGAGGGGTTGTGGGGAAGGCGGTTTGTTTTGGTATATCCATAAAAGTGGCATTCCACAGCTGCCTGTGTTAAGGATCTACCCCGGGGATTCACACAACACTGCAAATGTAATCAACCAAGTCAATGTGCCACCACGACTGCAGCGAACACATCACTCCCGCAATGACACCCTGCCTCCCATTCCATCCTCAACGCCAGCAACACTCCCTCTTATCACCCCGACTTTCTAATACTCTGGTTACACCTCACTGGGGCACAGCAGAGGTGAGGCTGTATATCCATGTGTGCCTGAAAAAGATAAGAAAACAAACTGCTGAACCGTTTTATTTTATTTTTTTCCCCTCCTGTCACAAACAGCCAGGGAGGTAAACTGTTTTTTTTTTTGCTGCGAGAGACAGTTGCCTAAAATATAAAGCGGTACAGTAATCCTAGCTCACTACATAGCAGACTGAATTATATCCAATCCCAGTTATCACTTCAGGGACAATGTCATATCACGCCTGTATTACAGACGGTGCTGCTGCATGGGCAGATTTGATATGGGTATTCAGAGGCCGGTTAGATACAGCTGAAAAATGTCTCCATCTGCTGTTAATGCAGTAACTAGTTGACCTGGTGGGCAGTAAAGTACATACAAAATATCACACCTAATATTGACTGAGGGCTGGGTAGTATTTGAAAATGTTTGGTATAAAAATTATACTTTTCAAAACTTGAGGCATTTTAAGTTTTTTTGACAATAACATTTTTTCATTAAATAAAATATCTCAAACTTAAAGGGACATTCACCACTTTTACACATGATCAGTTTACTAGTTGTGGAGTTTTTTTTTTGCTAAAGGTTCCTTCAGAATGGAATAATCTTATTTTTGTATTTATTTTGTTTATTAAATAAAGTGTTTCTCTTCCGTCTTTTTTTTTTTCTTTTTCATTGTTGTGTTGTGTCATTTCTTGTTTAATCTTCTTTTGTTTTCGTGATTGTTTTGGGACATCCGTAAAAAAAAAGCAGATGATACATCCACAGGGGTTTATCCTGACATTATTCATCTGCGTGTATGTGAACAGACGTCTCCTGTGGTTCTAGAGAAGCTTTGTTGATTTTATGAAAATTACTTTAATGTTGTCAACCATTACAAGCTGCAGGTGTGGGAACTGTCCAGACAGGAAAGGTTGAAATGACGATGTAATGGAGGACGCCATCGAGCCTCATTTTGAGAACTGTAGCATCTAGCGTTTTTGGAGCTTGACCTATAATACAGACTAAATCTCAGGATATCTCGGCCTCGGCTGCTGCGATTTGGACTGTTTCTCTTTTTAAGCCCGCCTCTCGCAAGTTCGCCAACTTAATGGAAATGCACTAATTAATCGCTGGAGAACAGCTGCACAAAAACTCAAAAAATGACCAACTATTTCGAGTAACATGGAAATATATGTTCAAAGAATATGTAAACAAAACTCATGGTTTACTACAGCACACAATATATTTTTCCTCTGCCATTATATTTGAATGTGCGAATCCTGAGTGTGAAATACACTCAGTGGCCACTTTATTAGGTATTCCTGTACAATACAACAGCTCTACCATAAATTCTACCTTCACAAGGGATTACAATGTTTGTTTTTTTGTTGGAAATGTGTTAATCCAATTACATGTTGTTCTTTTTTCACTTCAGTGATAGTTAAAAGGTGTTGTTGTACGTACCTATTGAGTATTGAGAGGTGTTCCTAAGTTTTTGATCTCCCTATTACCATACATGATTGGAAATGGTGGCAGAATTGTAGAAACACCTCTGAATATTATGCAGTCCATCATAACACATCACTGTGACCTCAGTGCTAAAACACTGAATTGAAAACTGAACATTACATCATAAGAGCAGACTTTATGGCAGAACAATTGTAATGTATTGCATCAGATTGCACAGAGGTAGCTAATAAAGTGGTCACTAAGTGTCTAGCCACTATACTGTATAGTGACCTCAACAATTCCAACAATGGACCAACAGTGGTACACAGCATTTAACTACTTTATGGATGGATATGAAAATTACTGTTTTTTTTAAGTTTAATATCCAAACCAAACTATGGACATCTGAGACAACAGCAATGCATTTACGAAAAAGAAAACAAACTGTTCTTAATGACAATGTGAGGGAAAGAGCATCCTGTAGTCCATCCAGTGCATTAGGTTGTTACTGTACAGTGGGAGGAGTTTTAAGTGTATGAAATTCAGTCTGTTCAGACAGAGAGGTCAATCCAGAGAAAGCATCTGTCTCTCATTCTTGCAGAGGTAAACTAACAATAAAAAAACATTGTTATCTGGAAAAAATTATAAAAATGGAAAATGTACAACAAGGTGTGCAGTAAAACAGCTGGAGCCGCCCATGGGGCAGAGGTTGCCCAAGTGTAGTACACTCTTGTCCTCTGGGTAAAGTTCTTGTAAAGGATTGTCTCTGTATTGCCATGGTGTGCTCTGCTTCTGCTTCTTCTGCTGCTGCTGCTGCTGCTGCTATACCACGGCGTACTGCTGATACAGCAGCTCCCGGATCTTATAGTAGTCGTCACACAGGCAACCTTCCAGGCCAATGCGTCCAGCCTCCGTCTGGACAAAGAGCACAAAGACGCACAGGTCACCTGCGTCCTCACAGAACATTCATTAACACGTAGTACAACACGGTGAAAGTATTCGTAAAACCCTGTGCAGCACTGTGCTGACCTTAAATATGTTCCCCATTTCCTTCCTCCAGACTTGGGATTGCAGTGTCTAATGAATCCAAATCCATCATGAGTTCCAATTTAAATAGCACAAGTACACACAGACACACACGCTCCTTTAACAGTCTCAGTTCTCTTTGATTTCATTTTCTGGGTTGCATCTATTTTAAGTTCTCGTCAATTATGCATTTTGTTGTTGGTATCCTGGCTCACTCCTACTTTTCCTTTTACTTTAGTTAAGTTCTGCCTGTGATTCTTTTTTGTGTGTTTCTTCTGAGGTGAGATGTTTTCATTTGCCTTTGGGTTTTTTTTTTTATCCTACTTATGCTGGCTTTGTTTGTTTCTCTTTGTGTTTAAAGTTCCATTTTGTGTCGAGTACTGGCATTTTATTTCATAGTGTGTCAGTAAATGAACCTTAACCTCCGAAACCACCAGAAATCACACCTTTTTTTTTTTTGGTCATATTCAGCGAATTATAGTCAGAAATCTTTTTGTTTGATACGTTTCGTGAATTCTGATCAATTGAAACAAAACATGTATCTTGATTTTGGTTTACTGCCAACATTTGTAACACACACAAAAAGACATTCCCATCCATTATATACAGCCTACTGCTTCTGCCTGTGTCTCTCTAGTCTGCAGAATAAGCTGCTGTATTTCTTACAGCATCTAAAACAACTTGCCCGCTGCTCTGAAAAATGCTGCCTGCTCTGGATACACAATCATCATCAAACAAAGGGAGACGATGAATGTGTCATACTGCTTCACAACAATATTAGTATGCACTTCTGATGGCTCACAGTCAACAGATTCTAAGGCAATGAATACTCATGTCACTGGAAATGTTTTCATCCTGTGTCTGCTTGTTGCAGTGATGAATTATTTCTCCTCAAGCGAATTAGTGTCTGACCTGAAGGTTACAGACAGGAGATGTGAAAGGATGTTTTTTTTTTTTTTATAATGAACCAAAGGCCTTTAAAGCTGCTTTTCATCTTGTCTGGACATTTAATTCCCAGTTTCATTAAAGTGATGCAACTCCTTTGCTCATAAACCTAAATATAGTATGGATGTAGTATCAGTATGGAATAAAACCAGAAGCTCAACATTTTCAATGAGTGGTTTTGGCAAAAACAAGCCCAGTATGTCTTCTGTGCAGGCCGCCTTCCCTGTTGACGGGCTGGGGTGACTAGCCCTGTAAGGGGGCTGATGGATAGCGTGCTCAGTGAACCAGGGGGAAGGACACTCACCCTGCGGACGGCCACCATGTTGTTGCATACCAGCACTCCTCCCACAAACTCGGCCTGGATGCCTTCTCTCAGCAGGACCTGCTTGAAGTCAGAGAGGCGAGGCTCGTTGATGAACACTGACTGATGCCCCGGAATCTGGAGGGAGAACAGAGGAGTCAGAGTGTTTCTCAAAGGGCTGTCTGAACTGCTGTAACACGCTTGTAGGTACACTCTAACAGGATCACATTGCAGTCCCTCACAGGGCCTTTCTCCAAGTTTTTAACCACATGTAGTTGCAAGTTCTGTGATTACTCTATCTATTATATCTAGGATGAACTCTTGAGACTCACCTTGGGAAAACTGGGTCTGTGGTAAAATTTTGGATTTAAATGAAAAATAAAATAAAAAATTTCCCTTTAAATCCGACTTGCAAAACTTCTAATGAAAGCTATTTATCAAATTCCTTTTGACTTACAATGTTCTTAAATTTAAGACAGCATCCTGTTAGGGTCCTAGACAGCTACTGTACAGAGACAGGACTGAGCACACACCTCCTAATACATGTTTTGGATTGACTGTGCAATATTATAGCACTGGTCCTGTAAAATGCATTATCTGAAGCAATATGTATATCTCAGAACATTCTAGTTTTAGCCTGATGCTCCATTGTAAGCTGTTGTTTCAAAATACACCATTTGCTAGGATGCTACACAATTATTTTTTCATTCCTCAGTGGTGCAAACAACAAGAATAAAGCTGGGAATCATTTTGTTTTCCATACATCTTCACTGACTGCACTACTCATTTTGGTAGTAAGTTCAGCTTATTTGATCTCTCTCTTACGTAACTGCAGCAGTTTAGTACCTGCTCCAGTTTGGTTGGTAGAAAGTCGCTCGAAAAATATTATTTATTCTTTACTTCCAGTGAACAACTTTTTTTAGGTCTTAAGCACTGCTAATTGGCTTTTTTAAAGGATTAAGAATTGCCACATGCAACTGTGCAATACACAGTGTCATATCAAAACCTGAAACCTCCAAAGCACAGACACTGAGAATGGACTGTCTGTGAAGTAGGAGGTATCTTGTGCCAAGTAGTTAGTTTTATTGTGTATTCACAGATCATTTATGTATTTACAAATTCAGGAAGAAATAGTAGATGCAATTTTAAGAAATCCTAACCTTTACCCTAACCAAATCTTTTTAATCAGATTTAATCAGACAAATAATTATTCCAAGCAGAGTAGAATCTTGAAGCTCACTAGCCACAAACGCTGACATTTAATTTACACTCATTTCCCCAAACCCTAAGCTCATAGTCAGCAAAAATGAGCTATCATTACAACAACTTTACTAAACAGTGAAAAGTCTGTATGAATCTCCTCACCTCATGTGGAGGCAGTGGCTCCAGCGTAGGAATAACATCGCTCTCTTCAGAGAACTCCTTCTCGTCTTCTCCAAACAGGTTCTTCATGGCACGCTGCGCTGCCACCGCCGTGGTGCTGTGATCAATGCCAAGATCAGGGGCGACGTCCATGGCCAGATCGCTGTCCTCGACCTCCTCTTTCACACCCTCCTCCAGCATCACGCCCGTGTCCACCTTCACCACGCGCATGTCCAGCACGCCATCGATCCACGCGAGCTCCGTGTCTTTGGCTTTGCAGAACTGCAGAGAACTCACCAAGGAGTCTTTCAACCGCACCTTTATTGTGAGGAGACGAGACAGAATGAAGACACTGGCCTGTCACATGGAAGACTGCTTTTATGCTCCGGCACCGTACTCGAAAAGAGGCAACCAAATTCACTCTAACAGAGCAGCAGGGATTTACTGAGGCTGACCTGGTAGATGTGTGTCTCGCTGGTGGCGTCTACAGTCTCCTGCAGTTTGGGTGTGTAGACCTTGATGTCCTTGCTGAAAGCCTTGCAGGACTCGGCCAGGTCCAGGCTGGCCTCTGGCGGCCCGTGAACAATCACAAGCTGTCTTGGCTTCATCTGATTAATAATCTTCTTGATGGAGTCGCCATCAGAGCGACCTTCGTAGTCTATATACGTTACCCTCGCTCTGTAAAGGCACGAATACATAATAAAGCCTTTCAATACTGCTGATTTGTCAAACATTGTTTAACACCAGCGCAGATGAGATTTCTTGACATATTTGTAATTTATCCAGGAGAGGTTTGCTGACACTTTATCTTTTCCAGCATCACTTAGTTTCACATTCAAACGTTTACACACACACCTGGAGGTCATCCAACAAACAAAACACTATACTGTCCTGCACTGTGCTGCTGGCCACTGACCAGCTGCAAGGGCAGTTCGTGAGGGAGAGGATAATATTATACAGTATTAATGTGAATTTAAACCTGCAGAGTTCTAGTTCTCATTAATATGATTCACAGACACAGCTAGCTTGAGATGATCACTGACCTTATTTCAAGGTTTTCTACACTGGAGATGCATTTGGTTGGAACAACAGAGAGATCCTGGTCCATAGGTTCATCACCATTGGTCAGCCCAGATTCCAGTTTGCTTTTCTCCTCCTCTGTGGCTTGCAGTTCAGGAACCAGAAACTCTTCCAGCCTTGGAAAACACAACAGTAGTTTATTGATAAAGGACAGAAAAATATAGATGGTGTAGCTAATCTCATATGTGATATTGTAGTACCTGATGATTTCCCCATACTCGTCCCATTTGATCCTTTCCTCGTGCGTGGGGAACATTGGATAAGACTTTTTGGCTTGTTTGAAGAAACTACCTTTGCGGCTCCCCTCACCCTTCATCATCAAGTCGTGGTGTTTGTTTTTTACTGCAGCTGGCTGATCCAGATCATCATCCATATCGCTCTCATCGCTGGAGTCCACATCCACCCTGCGGCAGCATCAAATAAACATTAAAAGGAGTACATATGAGTTACATTTTTCCAAGGGCAGACAGCAGATTTAGTATAAATGTCTTAACAGTGCCATGACTCATCTCCCATTCACAGATGTCTTTTTAAACAGCCTGTTTCAGATATGGAATCTAGACCATCATTAGCATTTCTGTTGACTTTTTACATAATTTGCTGTTTTAGTTATCATCAGACTGTAAAATTAGATGAACTGGGTGTTTTGCAGCACCAACAAGCATAGAGCACCATCAAGTAAACCATGTAATGCAGTGAAAGTAGTATCTACTGGGACTTACTCTTTTGCTTGTTCAAGTTTCTTAGCTGCTTCTTTCTTTATTTTCTCCTTTTCAAGGTATTCCTCCAGGTCCTTGCCTTCCAGCTTCACTCTTTTCCGCACCTGTCATAATGAGAAGAGTGAAATATGGATGTGGTGGAAATGATAGAGTGACACATTTTGCTGTTTCTTCAGCTGGGTCTGAATGTGAGAGACAGGGGCTTCCCGTGGGGCAAACGCATGACGGGACAAATCTCAACCCCTCTGTCATAGTCAATCAGCGTGTGACTGCTGGTCTCACCTCCAGATCCAGCATTTTCTCTCCGGGGTTGTCGATGAGGTAGCGAGCCAGGGTTCCAGGTGTAGTGCGGTAGGTCAGGATAATGGAGTTTTTGGTGTCTTGGCACCATTGGATGAAGAGTTCTCGAGAAAAGCCAGACTCGAGGTCGGGCTGGCTGCAAAGCACAACCTTGGGGCTGGGCACCCGGGCCAGGTCTGCCAGACTGTGGCACAGGGTCAAGTGACGGAACTGGAACGGGTTGTTTCTCTTGTCCTCAAAACACCTCATGAGCTTGTCACTCATCCACTCCACCTACAGGCAAACAATAGATTATAAGTTATGGCTGTAGAAAAGCATTTATATATTGTCATCTCCTGCCTTTCTCTGCACCAATGAAACCAAGTATTGTGTATTTGGCAAATAAAGTGGTATCATGGTAAATAACGGTAAATTCACATGTAAGCAATGGTACAATATCTTCTCGAGTGTGACCAGTGAATAATACCTGGGACTTGGAAAACTCCACCACATTGTAGCTGACATTGTTAAGCAGAGCTAGTGGGTAAACTCCCAGACCAGCGTCCTTTGTCCTCCAAATCTGATCCAGGAGCTGAGCCAGCTCCAACACGCGCCCAGCTGTATCCACGGCAATAAGGACATTACCGTCACCCCGCAAGGTCTCCATTACATTAGCTTTGAGAAAAGAAAAAAACACAAGAAGAATTTATTTAAAGTGAGAACCTGTATTATTCACCCATTTTATTCAATTTTACATTTAGTGGTTGCAAAAACACCACACATTATCCTGTTATTTTCTGCACAGTATTAAACAAAAAGTCTTTCTGTCTTAAAGCACAGAAATCATGATTACATGGTTCATTTGTTTGACCACTGGGATGTCTTATAAAATGAATACAATATTTTTTAAATGATGAATAAATGAATAATTATGCTGCTATACACTGCTACTACAGTCTTATGAAGGTCACTTACTAAGGAGCTGCTCGTCTCTTTGTTTACGGCGTGGCTGCACATATGTAGCATTGAAGGAGTCCGTAATAAGTAAGGAAGGACGACTGATGCTCTCCAAAGAACAGCCATTCAGGTGGCTAGAAACAGAAAGAAAACAGGACATTAATTAACAGTGAAAATGAAAAGCAAAAATTCCAGCTCATACGCTTATGTTTTGTCTGAGCTCACATTTCTCTCTTGTGGTTGAAGTCCACGGCGTAAACAATCTCCTCCTCACCGTCCTTCACAATTTTCCAAATGGTGCCTCCTATCATGTGACCAGCTGGAAGTGGTGTGATGGAGAGACCATGTCCTTTGCCTGTCAAGTAAAAATAAAAAGACTCTTTGGTAGCTGTGATACATAACCCCCAGGCGACTCCTGGCCTATAAGGATCTGCAACTAACTCACCTTTCAGGTTGACAATCTGAGAGTATTTCAGCTGCTGGATTTTATCAAAAGCACAGTCCACATCATCAAGAGTGAAGAGTGTGAAATCTTCACTGTTGTTTCGAGACTAAATGGAAAGAAGGAAATGATTAAATAAAGAAATTGTAGGCATGCAAGTGAGCTCCAATAATAAATAACTTTAAATGAACACCGTCTTCCACTCCTCCTTCTTACCTGATATAGATCATACATGAACATCTGTCCCATCTTATAGACAGGAATGGTGGCATAGATGGTACAGTTTAGGCCGAGTTTGCCCACAGCATATGGCAAGGCTCCCAGGTGTATGGGGTCAGGATGAGAGAGGAGCACAGCATCGACTTGATGAACATATCTGAGGAGGACAAATGACATTTACGTTTATTCATTTGGCAGATGCTTTTTCCCCAAAGTGATGTACAGATGAGGTACAATCCAAACCACAGTGGATCAAGGTGAATTCATTGCATATATAACATATAAGTGCCTATAGTAGATGAAAAGAGCTATAGAAGGACAGAGAGAGAAAGAGAGAGAGAGAAAGAGAGAGAGAGAGGGCACATGAGGTTAGTAAGTACTATCCGAAGAGGTAGAACAGAAAAGGATTCTGCTGACTGAATCGAGTTTGATGACTCATTTCACCACCAAGGGATCACAAAGCAGAAGAGATGTTCTGCCATGCAGTGATGGAGGGACTGGGCTTCATTCATTTGCAGATAAGAGTGAAGGAGAAAGCTCATAAATCTGAATGATTCAGAAAGGAGGGTGCTGTGCCAGTGGTCACTCTGTAGGTGATAGGTTCACAGTTTTTCAAGTCAGTCTTATAACAATTGCCAGGTGCCCATACGGACGTTGAAACAGGTTTTGCTTGCTGTAAATGTTCTTCCTGTTCAAACTGACCATTGAATAATTCTCTCCTAAAGCGGATTCAGTGTAATTGAAAAATGCAAAAATATATAACAACATGTACCTGAAATTAACATGTAACTTCAGCAGTCAAATCAAGCCAGTCCAGTCCAAAGTCACAGCCTAGATAGTTGTAAGATTTCCTCTTAATGTTTCCCTAGTGAGCTGCAGTGGAACGGCAGTATCAAGAGAGGGAGTGTTTTACAAAGACACTGATAGATGTCCAGGACTACAGATATTGTCCCTCATCGCTTAATGCTTTAGGAAGGGATCTCTTCATGATCGGCATAAACATTGGTGATTACAACAATCAAAACCTGCTTGAGCTTACATATAGGCTCCTGTCTATTGTTTCAGAACAGATTTGGTAAAATTGTGAGCCGAGCCTATACTTTAATGTGAGCAGCAACAAGGAGCAAGTAGAGAGTAATGAAAAGTGGAGTGACATGGGCTGTCTTCGGCTTGCTCAGGACCTGACATGCTGCCTACTACCTGGCAAGTCAAGGCAAGAGATGACCCGTGCTTGTTGAGCAGCACACTCAAGATAGGACCTATGATGTTACATATGGTCATCAGTCACGGCCAAATGAACAACACACACTAATTTCAATTCACAGGGTGACAAGATGGATGTCATAATTACCGTTTCATAGCATCAATGATGTCCATGGAAAAGTTCTCATCCCAGCCACAGTCCAGGAGGAAGCGGAATTCATCCACCTGCAGGAGATAACAAAGGGCCGACTCCTCCTGAACCCCTGACACGGCTGTCAGCTTTATAATGGACGTCATTTTTCTTCAGTTGTCACGCTGCAAGTACAGTTATCATGAGCTTAGGCTGACCGTGGTGCAAAATCCCCTCAATAAACAAAACATTAACGGCCTGTGTGAAGTGCTGAGGCTCTTTGCGAATGAACGAAAAACTTCCCCAGTTCTATCAATTAAATCTATAGTGAAAACAAACAAAGGCTATGGTTCTGTTCTAAACTGAAACTGAATGATATAGTAGCAGTGTTGCATAAAGTCTGCCTGTGAAATGCGGTTGGAATGTGGAACAGTGAGTAAATTAAAAGTAAACACGGTTTGGTTGCTAGCCACAGTTAGCTCACACGATCAATAACGATGCGTATGTAGCATGGTAGCTACAGTTTAGCTTGGGGATATAAGTAAACTGAATCGACAAACGAACGTGCTACACACCATTAATTATGAGCTGCTATAAAATGTCTCCCGTTGTAATAGAAACACAATGAATTGGAATTTCTATAATCCCAACTTTAAGACATTTTGGCTAGCGTTTTTGAACACACACTTAACTAGCGGACAGACATATTTGCCGCTGCATCATGAGTGAAAGGGCAAAGGAGCGTACCAAGTGAAGGGGTGTAACTAAAAAATATTTTACGTCAAAATACCGAATGCTCATTATTTTTGTTATACTGTATTTGAATACATTTGTCTTGTTCTTACGTACTCATATTTTTGCTGATATAATAAAATAATTAGGAAGAGTAAATGTTTATAGAGATTTTTCTAGTTAAAGGGATCACTGTGTAGGCGCCTAGTTGGTAGAGTCCAATGTCCTCTGCCTGATAAGTTAAGAACAGAAGGCCACGGCTTGGCGTAAAGAAAAGGTATTATTTTTGAATATCTCAACGTCGTTTATCTTTATTCTTTGAGCTTTTGTACTGTATCATTTTTACTGTGCAACGTAACTACTGTGTTATAGTAGTAAGTGATAGACAATTCTCAATGGAAACCTGACATGTATTGCTGATGCTACATAGCTATCTGTTTAGCTAGCTAGGCGCTGGTGGCTGTGGTGCGATCAGCTTGTGTTTAAAAATTGTGCATGCTCGTCATATTATCAGTATTTTAAGCATTATTTCGCTATGCGCAAATTATGAAATCACAGCTACAGCATATGTGGTCCGTAGCAGGGAATGAAAGAAGAATTCACTTTACTTAAGTGAAAGTAATGATTCCGTGGTGCAAAAACACTGCTACATGTAAATTTACTGCATTTAAAATGCCACCCAAGTAAAAGTATGTAAGTACCATCAGATAAATGTACTTCGGATACAAAAGTAAAAGTTCTCATAATGCAGTGGACCCTGTAAGTGTTGCACTGTTATTATTGCTTTTAAAATGTAAGCTGTGCCTTAATGTTGTAGTTGGCCGAGGTGCAGCTATTTATTTGTACTTCATTTTCTGTTGGGTATTTTAATCGATATTACTACTTCATATTTTATAAAGGGTCGTACACTAATGCAGTCTAATACAACAGTCGTACAGTAAAGCCAACCTTCATGAAGGTTATAATGTTTGTATTGAAACTAAGAAATGTTGATTCAACTGTATGATCAGTTTGGAGGCTTGCGTTATGTTGACGGATCTTTCTATTATTTTGCCCAAAGCATTCAGATCAGTGAGGTTAGGATCTATAACAAAAACGCAGTTTAAATGAAATCTGATCGTTATAAACTTCATGAAATGAGGAGTACCTAATAAACTGCCAACTGCTTGTATAATATGTATGTAAAATAGGGCTGCAACTAACTTATTTTTTATTATTGATTATTCTGCCTGGGTTTTTTTTCCACAATTGTCTATCAAATACCAGACAACAGGAAAAAAATGCCTGTTATAATATCTGACGGGCCAAGGTGACATTTTCAGCTGCCTTGTTTTGTCTGACCAGAAGTCCAAAATCCAAAGATAATCACCTTGTTGCCCTGTGTGAAGAAAAGCATCACATCTTCACTTTAGAAAGTAGAAACAGAAAATATTTGACATTTTTGCTTAGAAATGTTTAAAGCAAATATTTGATTATCCTGCAGCTCTAATGTAAAATGTTGAGACCCCTGCTCATCCATAGTCCACTCACACAGGTATTTTCACCTATGTTGCATAATTACTGTGGAGTTTTTTGCATATGAACTGTGCTTGATTGACATCTCTATCGCATTTCTGTAGCTTCTGTTTTACCTGCTGGCTACAATTTACTCTGTTATCATTCATGGTGCACAGAGTTTCGTGAAATGCAATATAATTCCACCCAATTTACACCTGACTCTAATCAGCCAAAGTAATTGAAAACACCTGGGTGGATGTGCAGAGCATTTAATTTGCAAGTAACTAGAAACTACAACTGTTAAAGAAACGTTTTCGAGTAGAATAAAACAGCATAAAATTGAAATACAGCACAAGTACCTCAAAATTGTATTTAAGTAGAGAACTTGAATAAATGTATTTTGTTACCTTCCACCACTGGTTTGAAGTGATGGTTGTATTATACTCAATGCTGTTTGACATAGCAAGATATGTAAGAGCTCTGCCTGACGAACGTTAGCAACAAGGAATGTCTGAGGAAGGTACTCCCAAAACCCGCATTATTTTTCTGTTGCCACACAGTCCGATTGGTGTCCACACAAATAAGCTTGTTCAAAGGATAAGAACAAGCTTTTAAAGGCTGTCACCTGTCATGATGAACTTAGCGTCACAGTCACACTACTTTGTTGAAGTCCTCTAAAGAAAGATAGACTGTCCTGGTTTTATTTAGTAATTATTAGTAGTTTAGTAATTACCTATTAATCCTTCCAGGTAGATCGAGTATGAAGCCAACGTTTGCTAAGAATTGCTTTCCACTGATTTCAGTGTCTCCAGATCAAGTTAAAATGGGTGGATTTTTATTTAGTGGCTGGCAGAGGAGTCCACCCAATATGGCATAGGGTTGTCAGTAAATGTAGGTGTAAAATACGGTATTCTGGCCTCATGTCATGTGAGCACTTGAATGAATTCAGTTTTCCTCACCATGAAAATGTTGGTATATTGTCTGTTGTGATAATCAGATTCAGAGAGTTTAAGGCAATGCCAATAATGTATCTATTGATTTCATGTTCTCACATAAAACTGTAACAAATCCATTAGTTTTAAGTGTGTGGGAAATTAGCGACAGCTTTCACTTTGCAGAAGCGCTAATGTAAGTGTATTTGGATCAGAGAATAAAATCAATGCCACTGAATTAATGTTGTGATATGTCTTCTGCTTGTTTCTGTAGGAACGATGGTCAACTTTGTAGCACTTGCGCGTGAGCACTGGGTGAACATATTGGTGCCCATGGGCTTTGTGATTGGATGGTACCTCGACAAACAACAGGACCAGAAGTTGACAGCTTTCAGGAACAAAAGTGTTTTGTTCAGCAGGTAAGAAAAAGCAATTTCCTACCTACATGTAAGAACAAAACAGGCCAGTAAATGAAGGATCTGGTGCCATGTGATGTTTTGTGCTTCTGCATACTTAAACAATTTGGACTTATTACGATGCATTTTGTATAGTTGTTTTCAAGTCAGCAAATCATTGATAGGGGAATACATGTAGTTACAGATGTAACAGTGAACTCTCAGTTACTCAGTATACAGTCACTCCACTTTGGTAAACCTAAGCAACTATTTGACATTCATGAGATGGTGCCATTTCACAGAGTGGTATCAAAAAGCTGATAACAGCCTGTAGTGTTGTGATTGTAAGTTGATAAACAGGTTCAATCCTACATGTGAAACAGTTTAGATATGGCTCTTACATTTTCATGTTGGTTCTTAGACTGTTTGAAGTTAAAGCAGAAGATTTATTCTTGAACAAGCTGCCCAAAAAGGTCATCTAATACCAACTGTCGTCCAGGCACAACGTTATGTAACTTTCTCATTTCTCTGTAGGGAGCTGAAGCCTGGAGAGGAGGTGACCTGGAAGTAGACGACTCCTACCTCCTGGAATGTGTCCTGTCATCTGTGGTGTGAATGACTGATGGGTTGTCCTCAAATAAAATTATTTAATAAGACTCCTATACCTCTGTTCTCGAATTGTACCAATCAGTAATCTTTAACATTTTGAGTTGTATCAACCAATAATAAACATGCCCTTTCTCATCAAACTCATTTGGTACTTGGCTTAAATAACACATAACATCAGTTTCATTTTTTCTGTCAAAACTGGTTTATTTGATGCAGAACACAAAACAAATGTTCAGCATGACCATTCTAGTACAGCTAATGAACATTACTTAAAACAAGAAGGGTTTTGAATCAAAGATTGTATTTGTACAAACGCAATTTGAATACACTCATGCAGTCAGCATGACTGAAGAATCTGAGGCCATTTACAGAGGCTCTGCAGTGTGGATGATTCCCCTCTCAAATAGCATCTCAGCCAAATCCACCTGGGGAAAAAAAAAACACAGATGCAACAGGTCAAACAAATGATTTCACAAAAACAGGCTCATTAAAATAAAACATTTAAAATCAATATCTACATAAAATGGGATGTGTTTTCCAAAACTACCAAATGCACCCCCCCCCTCAAAAAAAATACAGCCACAAACAGAAGAGAAACAATGCCTGAACATATTAGTTGCATCATATCTCAGCAAAGATCTTATGTACATAGAACAGCATACCCTGTCCTTTGCAGAATCACATGGGAGGCTTCCTACTGTTACAAATTTGGGATAAGAATGGATCAGAAACTCGACGGCATCTGTGTGCTGCAAAAAAAAAAACAATTATTAGGCGGTGACAACATCATTAGGACACGATGTACAAAACGAGATCTGCACAGATCTTCAGATCTCTACCTCTGGGTTTATTTCGAAACTCTTGAGCTCCTCTTTGTGGTAAACTCTGGGGTTGTCTGTGGTGTAATAAAGATGTACAGTGTCTCCATCACTGCATAACCTGGCAAGAGAAATACTTGATCAATACATTTTCTGCTTTAATGCATCACTGAAACAGGTGATCTTGACAACATATTGTCAAAGACATTATACTCTGCATTTTTCAATAGTCCGCTCTGAACCTGCCTGCCGTGAATGTGCTGTGAAATCTAATTAAAAGTTCGATTACCTTGCACATCCAGCACGGAGGACTCTGATTTGGGTCTGGGTAGTGATACATGCACCCACATCCATAACTCGCCCACGTTCCCACCTAGCAGGGGCTCCTTGAACACTGCTGGCCAGTTCATCTGCAGGACATGCAGTGTATATGTTACTCAGAGGCATAACGTGTTCATCATTCACACAGGACGACCATCACAAGTTGAAATGCCGTGGTACAACTTTCCTAACCTCCAGTTGGACTTGTGAATTAAGTGAATCGAAAGTGGAGTGACTGCAGACTGACGCGTGCATCACATACCTGGAGTTAGCAGGGGAGGCAGGCAGTCATGGAGGAAGTCTCTGGCTTTCTGATCCACAGCAGCATCGACCGGGGCGTAATTTATTAGCTTCTTCATCAGGCTCTCAATTCGTGAGAAGAATTTTGACCTGCGTGGGTCGTCCTGCACAAGGAGAACTTTTCTCTTGAGTTGGTAAACGGTGAAAAGACAAAGGACAATGACTGTGACTGGAATCAATACGTTGTTAAAAGAACATCTGATTGTGTACCTTGTCAGAATTCTGTACTCCCATGTATGTCAGGTAGTCCAGAGGTAAGCCCTGTCTGAACTCCACATCCTCCTCCATTGCTATTTCCAGAGCTGCTGGAACCACCTAAAAAAAAAAAAAACAAACAAACAGTTGAAATGTGAAAGACCTAGAAGACCCTAAGGCTGAGAAAGACTGAAAATGTCGTTGTTTATTTCACTAAACTATGTAACACTCACTGTTCCTTCACCCTAATGCTGCTCTGTGATAAACACTATGGTTTCTGATTGGAGCCTTTGCTTTCATCTGTATCTATCTTCTTTGTGTTATCACAGATCAAATAGAAGGACTTCTTCTGTGTTCCTTAAAAAACTGCTGCTGTTGCAAATAGCAACAGTATTTTTTCCCCCAAGAGCTGAATGTGCTTAGAGCAGCAAATGTAAAAACTTTCATGAGGAGGCTGTCAGTTAAATGACTGTTGCTTTTGGCTGAATCAAAACCAAAGCATAAACAAGGAAAAATGTCATCGGTCATTTCAATATACTTACAATACATAATCAATACATGTTTGATGTAAAAACTAATTGGAATTTGGTGATGCACCCATGTGCCGATGATGCCTTTTTTTTTTTCCTTTAACCATTTAGGTTTCGGATTGCGACCTTTGCCTTCATCTGCAACCATCACACTGTAGATCAGAGTGTATTACCTTCTGTAGCAGGTCGCCCCAGCTGTTCTTCTGGTACGAGGAGATGGTGATGTGCAGGGAGTGAGCGTCTGGCAGGCAGTCGCCCTGGTGGATGAACCCTCTGGGAAAGTAGAGGAGATCTCCGGCCTCTAGCACCACTTCCAGGATCGGCTTCCCGATGTCGGCCTGATCGAAGTTCGCTGGAGAGGAAACGCAAAGAGAGAACGGGAGCACGTGTTAAAACAATTGCACCATATTTGTGGATTGATCAATCTCTCTTTCTGTAAATTTTCTTTTACTCACGGCTTGAAATTACAGGCAAGACCTCATCATCTGACCTAAAAGAAAGTTAGAAAAACAACTTCACAAAGTGTTTCTTAATGTCAGCCTCTCACATATTAAACTAACACTAGCTGAAATTGCTGTTTATTAGAAATAGAAAGTCAAAGACCCAGAAAATAAATTAATTTTATAAAAACTACTCAAAAAACATTGTTTGATGTATCAACATATGGTGAATCATCACATTGGTACATCTGCGACATGTTTTGTCCTGGATCTGTTTGGCATGTTTCTCCATCAACTCTCATGGCCTTACTTGGCGTAAAAACAAAACATCCACTTCTTTTTAATGCATGACTAGATTAAATTCGACTGTGTGAATTTCCTCATCCTCACTCCGTCTGACCTTGGGTTGTACACTCTCCAGTGTTTCTTCCCTTCCAGTTGAACCACAAACGCCTCAATGTCGTCATAATGTGGAGCAAAGCCTTGCGTTCCAGGTGGCGTCAGGTATCTGGTGAAGGAGAATACACGTTTGACACCAAAACAAAATCTGAAAATGGCACCTGAAAGTTTCCAGGGACAGTTTTTTTGTCTCAAACACTCACATGTTGGCTCCTGCCATGCTGCCAAACTGCTCTTGAAGGATGGACAGCATGTTCCACACGGTGGAGGAGAAGGCCTGGGGGTTCAGCATTCGGAGGGAGCAGCCCCTCTGGTAGAATGGAGATACAGTACATATGATGATTACTAATCTGCAATGGGAGCGCTGTGCAGACGGTGCACTGATATGGTTAATGCACTGAGCAAAAAATGACTTAAAACTTGCAGCACTGAAAATATTAAAATTAATATATTCCTTAGTAGATAATTATGCATCTAACTGCTTTTTAATGAAGGTGGACCTAGAAAATTTGAAAGTGAGAAGAAACTTTAATGACACCACCCCCCACAGAGAAAACCGGTGCATCTAATTTGCAGCAAAGGACCCACTTGTTAGGAATGTAATCAGGGCCATAAAAATGCATAATTACTGTAATTTGCATTAGAAATAATCACAAACTGTACATATGCAAATCAACGGCCTGCAACATTGTATCCTCTTTACCTCATAGAAGTCCCACACAGAGAACGGCAGAGCTCTCCCTGGAGGATTGTGCGTCTCTCTCTTGCCATTAGTGTAGCTTGTGACATCCAGGTTCACTCCATACTGAACATCCTCCTGAAATCAAACAGCACAAACATGTACTTCAGGATGAGAGATTTTTGTCTTCATTCAAGTTTCCTATTAACTTTTCCAGTACAGAAAAATATAATGCAGCAGGAGACAAAATCTTACATTTAAATTACTGAAGAAAACAGGCAACACAACAAACGAACAGAGCATTAGCTCAATGAAATAAAGTAAGACAAACAAACAGAAAAAATATGAATTAGAAAATACAATTAAAGCAGCTTGTCTGACTGTGGCTGAGAACAGTCCCCCGAGCCAATAAAGCAAGTTAGACGGACTTATCTCCTAATGAACAAAGCCAGTCTCCAAATACTTTTTGATAATCAAAAAGGAGAAACATTGCCAAATTAAATGAAGCAATGTACCTGCTTCAATGTTATATCTCCAGCAGAAATGATCATCCATGAGTCCTATGGTATTTTTTAATCTAACTAGTGTATAAAGATGAATACAGGATGAATGAGTGTTATGTTTACATTGTATTTCAGATCCTTACCTCTCTCAGTATACGATCAAACTCTGCTGTTGAGAACAGTCCTTTGTAGTAATCTGGATTCTTGCGTTGAACAAGAATGGGCTTCTTTTCCCATGTTTCCCTTATAGAGAAAAAGAAATACATGTATATCATTCAGTGTTCCGACAAAAATATGAAACCTTGTATTGGGTGTTGTTGCAATTCTGATTTTAAACCTATTCAAAAAAGGAAATCATGAATCTCCAAATGTGGGTGATTTTTAATTAGTCAGATAAATTCAAGGATGTAGCTCAGAAACTGTTCTTACTTCCTGCGCTACATAGATCTTGGGGTTGTGGCAATTTACCACTTCTAAACAATACAATACAGACAGACAGAGAAAGAGAGACACCGCCAACACACTCATCGGTACCTGAAGAAAGCTTTGACAGGGATGGGGTTGATGAGCCACTGGAACAGTGTACTCGCTCTCTCCCTGCTGTTGTTGACTCTTGCCAGGTCGGCCAGCAAAGCATCTATAGTGTCACCATCTCCATTTACACACTCCTCTTCCTGCTTCTGAAACATAAAGACAAATTTTCATGGATGTGGTCATGAACGTAGCACCCCATGGCATCTATGTTTGCATCTCTGCAGCAGGCACACACTTCTGTGGTTCCCTTCAGGCTCTCCTCTCTTTGCGCAGACTTCACAAGCTTCTTTCTTTTCTTCTTGTCAGACTTTATCTGAGCTTTAAGTGTGTTGACTTTATTGACTGCAACTCCATTCTCTTTTTTCTTTTTCTTCTTAGCAGCCACCTAGAAAAACATACAGTGTTAAAATACACAGGTAATCCAGTTTCAGTACTGCTCCTTCTGCAGCTGTGGCACACAGTACTTCAGCCAGGCACTAAGAGAGTATCAAACATATTATTTTAATCATATCTACCTGCAGCGAAGGCTTCTTGGCAGGGGGGGAAACGTCTGCTGAAAACGTTTGATACAAAGCAAAAGCTGACATGTGTTTTCTCTCCATTTTCCAGCACGTACGTCATCACCTTGCGTCTGTGGCTGCACCCTTTTTCTTCTCTCCATCTGTGTACATTTCCCCCCTAATGAACTCACTACCGCCACCTTTTGAGTTAGACCACAAATTACAGCCCAGTTAGGACGAAGGTTTTATGTAACTTAACAAAAAAAAGTATTTATTTGTTTCTGCACACGTAAACGTTTCAATATGAGACCTTTCTTTCCAGTCAAAACTGTAAACATGGGTACCTTTCAAAATAAAATGTATACTAGTTTCATACTGCATGTTTAATGAACAGGTTAAGTATACTGCACAACTATACCATTATTTTCTTAGGATAATTTGTGAGTTTCAGCAAGCTCTTCTGCTGCTATTTTCCATAATGATAAAATATGTTTGTTTTTCGTGATTTTCAATAAAACATTTCTGCTAAATTATCGGCTGTGTATGTTTGTATATTCTCCTGTTTTTTTGTTTTTTGTTTTGTCGTGGCAATGTTTATGGTCTTTGTTGTAAGAGGTGTTAATTCCACTGTATGAATATTTACACTGCTTGCTTGCACGTTAATCCATAGTGATAATTCAATATTATATTTAGAATATAATAGTATGAGAAGGGCCATTCTACATAATAAGCACTAATACTTTTGACACTTGATGTACATGACACTTAAAGTACTTTTATTTAAGTTATAGTGTAGTACTGTATTGTTAATTTTAATGATAGATGATCTACTTCTTCCACCACAGTAAGCCAATCGTAAAATTATTCCAAAAAGTCATAAAGGTCCGTTTAATGTTGGACTTGACACTACGTGTAGTATCGATATTGGCCGCCAGGTGGAGCGTTTTCTCCTTTTTTCATTTGTTCGAATTGCACATCTGATAAACACCATTTCCCAGAATGCTGTGCCGTGGGCTGTCGGTGCTGTTTGTCCGGTCGTCGCTCCAACAATGCAGCTTTTAATGGAGCTGTGAGCGGTGCGGGCTGAAAACGCAGCACCACCGCAGGCTTGTCCGGAGACTGTAGCCGTACATATTCAACTCAACCGTCAACGAGGTTTTAACGGTTTGACAAACCTGCTGAGCGGCCGTGACTCAGTTTTTTAGGACACCCGGACTCTTCTGCTGGGGTGAGTAGCTACTGAAGCTAACGTTGGATGCCAGTGTAGTGAGAGCAAATGCATTTTGTTGTGACCACTGCTGGCTAGCAGGCTAGCTAATTGGCCAGATGAGACATATGGCCCCTTGTGTCTTTCCCCTGCAACCCCCCTGTCCATCTTTAACACAGTAGCCTCAGTCCTCTCGTTCTCATTGTGTTTTAGATGTGGGATTTGTGACTGGCGTAAATGTGGACGGTTTGCAGTTTTTTTCATAAAGAGTTTGAGGCAGTTGAGTCGTTTTTTTTTTGCAGCCGCTGCCAGTCGTGAGTCTGTTTTGCTTTGATCTCGTCTGAGGCACACGTCAACCCTGCCGGTGTGCCCGGTGCTTTGCCGTGATGTAGACTGTGAAGGACTGCCAGGGCTGGCCCAGAACATGTTTAGCTTCCGTGCACATTTTCATATTTCGGATCCCTGTTTGATTGTCAAACCCACAACCCCAGAACACGCCGGCTTTGCAGAGAAAGTACAATGTCACACCAAATTCCATTTAAAAAAAAAAGAAAAAAAGTGGCAATTTAATAATCTGTTCATAGCTGAGAGGACACTTACTGGCGTCATAATCTGTGGTGATTATGAGAACCATAATGAGCGACCCGGTTCAGTGAACATGCTTTTAAATACACCGACGATCGTTTTCTGCGACGTACTGGCTATCATGTACTCCCCAAAGCACTAAAACATGTATTTTATCCACTGTTATTGTCAATCGAATTGTAAAACTAAAGATTTGGAAGTGGGATTTCTGTTTGGTGTGCTGGAAAAGTGTTGGGTTATATCTCAAAATGAATAACACATTTTTAAATTTTGCTCCGTCAGTCATGGACTGTATCTTGACCATCGAACAAAGTGAGTGTAATAATTTCCTTGCTATGATATTCATTGACCTGCTTACTATAGAGAAGATCACCACGTATTGCTGGTATGACCTGAGACTATAATTCTCTTGATTTGGATTCCCTGTAATGTAGTTTATAATGTGATGTGTCTTTATTTGTAATTAAACTCCCCAATATTTATGCTCGTTTTCCATCCCATCTATTTAAATGACAGTAGACTAAATTTTAGATACACAAATTTTAGTATAAAACAATGCACTTCAGCAAGCCTCCTAAATGAGCAGAAAAGTGAATGAACACCCCTCTGAAACTACTTAACCAAAATCATACTTTTGCAACCTACTTTTATTGCAGGACTGGTGTATAAGATGGCATTAGTTGTTTCTAATATCCTGGCAGCTCAGTACAGATGTTGTTTAATTTGCACTGGGACAATCAAACAATGACTGATGGGACAGAGCAGTTCAGTACAATCCTCTTGAAGCAGTCTCCTCTACACTGAGTATGAGTTGAGTGCGGTATACAAGCCTCTTGCAATTTGGGGAACATGCCTGAGTTGCCACTATTAAGACGAGGCTCAGCATGTTTGTGGGAACACCGAGGTAACTGCCAGGGGCATTGCTTTCAAAACATGTTTCAGTAAATCAGTTTTCACTCAGATTTCTGAGCCCAGAGTTGATCACTTAATAGCAGCCTTACCAGAGTTGTTGGCCCAGAGCTGTGTGGTCAGTTTGTTTGTGGCTGTAAGGGATTGCATGCATTATCAGAGCATGCCTTTGTGTATTTTTACTTGACAGGAGGCTGGTTTTGGCAAATTGGTCAACAAATCATAGTTAATGAGTTGAAGATATGATTTCACAGTTTGATTACATGTTGTATTTTATGCCCCTAAAGTCTGAAACTTAGTGGGAGAACAAAGTTGCTGAGCATGTACATATGCAGTGTCCTGAATCTGATGATGCAGAGAAAACTAAAAAAAGCGATTGCAGGGTATTGGTTGTATGCAATTTACCTAATGTACAAAGACAGCAGAAGTTAAAGGGTTCAGATTTCACATTGGTGTCTGGATTGTATGGTCTTTCCTCACTTCCAAACCATTGTTCAAATGTTCAATTTGGTTAAATTATCAGGCAGGATATTTGTCATGAATGATTAGATTTCTGAGTCTTTGTGTGAGATGTTGAGGACTGGCCAGCAGCTACCCCATACAAAGGTGTGGATTGTAGTTTTTGTGGGTCAGTCTCACCCACTCATTGCCAGGGTCAGTGAATATATCTCAGCAGATGCGAGCACTGTTTACAGATGGGTGTTTTTGTTTGGATGCATTCTTCTATCTTAGATTTTATTTATTATTTTTATATTTATTTCCTGCACTGATATAAACAGCAGCAGTGTGTTATTTCAGTATTTGTAAACTTTCGACTAAACAAAAGAGGCTGTTTTTTAAAAAAAAAAAATTGTGATCAAACATAAACCCTTTCAGAATAAATGTCAGTGTAAGTCTGTCAGAAAGCTGCTGTTTGCCCTGCAGTGGTCAGATTGAACCACAGCAAGCAATGATGATGGGCTGTGCTGGGCAGCATGTTTTCTACTGTGGACAAGGATATTGATGTTTTTCCTCATAGGGGTGAGATTGCCACACTTTGAATTATTTTATTTCCTCTTGTGGTCGCACAGTTATCCACGACTGCCACATTACAGAATAATTGCAAAATCAGCTTTTCAATATATTGCCCTATACTGCAATTATCTGAAATATCATCATGTAGAGGTCGGTCTAGTGGCATAATTAGTAATGTTCGATCAGTGTAGAATATTTTAGACTGATACAGATGTTGTAATTGGGAATTAAAACAAAATAAAACAAGAAATCCCACAGAGCTGGCAAATGGCTCATGTGGCTTTTTGAAATGTATTTGTTTGGACGTAACATACAAACAAGGGCTGTTTAGACTTTATTTTATTACACTATTTAACTTTTCCTGAATCATATCGTCTTGCACACAAAACCAAGATTATAATATGGCTGTATATTTGGTTACGTGTAATTTCATAAGTCGCTATGGTAAACAAATGTCTTACAATTTAGTTACTTCAGTTTGTGCTTTGCATGTATTAGCTTACATTTGGTTCACAGAGGTAAATATTGGACTCTCTAAAAGACAGTTATGTTTCAAAAAACCCAGAAGGTTGTTTAAAAATAATTACTGTTGTTCTGAAGGTATAAAAAAAATTGTACCAAAAGACGAATAGTGTACAGTTTGAAAATAAGGCAGAGCACAAAATCATTGCATTGGGAAAAGATTTGGATCAGCTCAATTCAATGTTGAGCTCGGTAGTTAAGATGTTCCATCACTGGGATGTGTTGGCTGGGAGTCAGAGAAATGTCGACTTCACACCTGAACATAAACATACATGATTTTTGATGAAGCTTGTGATTCCACAAAATGGCCAGTACTAGTAATGTGCTGCTGAGTCTTTACACGTCTTCAAGTTTGTGCGCTTTTCTGGCAAAAGACAACAACAGACCTTTATCACAGCAGACACTGTGACCTGTCATAGCAGGCGAAGCACAGGTGTAACGAAAAACATTAATCATTTCTGAGTTTCCTTTAGAACTCTTGGTATTGTGTGTGGTGACTCATTGGCCGTGTTTACTGAGACACTTCAGTGCAGTCGAGCTTTTATTAACGCGATTAGTTACACCTGTGATTTTTCTGCTATAACAGTCAAAATGTCTCCAGTGAAAAAGTTCTGGTATTGTCACAGGATATGACGCTATGTCACTAAAGACACTGCTCGGTGTAAGAGTCACCAAGAGTGCGATCTTACAGAAAACACCTCATAATGGAAAAAAATCACAGGTGTAACTAATGACACGAATAATGGCTGCTTTCCATTTAGATAACAGTTCCTTGTTCTTATAGAGTCAGTTAGATTAGAGCTGCAGCTGCAGCAATTAGTCGATAGACAGAAAAATGTAAATATTTTAATAATCTAATCATTTATGTCATTATTCAAGGAAACATGTTAAAAATTTGCTTCCCTCAAACTTAAATATGAAGATTTCCATTTTTATATTATTGTAAATTGAATGGTTTGTGGTTTTGGACTCTTGATTGAACAAAATAAGATATTCGAAGATGTGACCTTGGATTCTTAGCAAAATGGATGTTCATTTTATTTTATTATCAACTGTTTTCTGACATTTTATAGTCTAACCAAGCTTTATTAATAGGATATTTTAACAGTTAAAACTTGTACTTTGCTGGGTGTCACTTGGCAGCCAGAATGTAGGCGAGCTGGTCAGGGACAGTCAGGACACCTTCATTCTCCAGCTGGCACTTTAAGCACAAATGCATCTACCCAACTTGTCAGGGAGGTACCTGCTCCTTCCTGCTGGAATAAAAAACAGTTCAGCGACTTCTATTTTGAATCTTCTGGGTGACAGGTGCTGTGGTTTAGGATGTGGTTTGATGGTGCAGCAATGAACAATTAGTACCCGAAGAGATTCTATTTACTGTCATAGAAGATGAAGAAAATCATTGAATTTACAAGCTGGAACCCATGATTTTTTTTTTGGCATTTATGCTTAAATTCTGATTAATTTGCTGTCAATTGACAAATCGATTAATTGACTAACAGTTTCAGCTCTATATGCTGCTGTACCAATATCAGAGATGGATTATGTATGGCAGCCCTGATTTGTGATTTTAGTCTGGTCATTCAGGCTTCATTGAGGCAAAACTTATCATTGAGGCTTGGGCATTAATTGGCATATCCTTGTAATGATGGTGTAGATGAATCACTAAATGCAGCCGCTGCCTCTCGACTTGCGCTCTCTCCTGCTCTCCTCTCCTCCGAGAAAGCAGAGGTTTAGCTCTACTTGAACAGCTGAGTGTTCTCGGCATGGAGGAGTGGGCTCCTCTACTCTAATGAACATCTGCTTTAAGAGGCAGAAAAGTTAGGCTACATTAACCTAGGACAGCTTGTTCTGTATGTTTATTAAATAACAGCAGGATTAGTTGTTTTTTTTTTTTTTTTGCACTAGGCAAGAGAGAAATAAATGGCATGAATAAAATTTCTGACAAGAACAGATGTAACAGCTCGTAGCTGTGTGAGAGGAGAAAAATG